ATATTTTAGGCCCATAATTTGACAAATAAATGGGCACATCTTTAATACATCCACATTTTTCTTTCTTCAATCCCCTCCCTGGAGATCTTTTTGAAATACTGCAGAGATTCAGACAGTGTTTGGAATCAGAGCTGTGGCGTGGTTTGGAAACCCTCTCAAAGCCATTTCGTTTTAAAGTGGGAATCAGGACTCCATTTACAGTAAATTATTAAATTGTTTAAATGTCATCTTTCCTCTGCCAAAATAACTTTTATTTTAATAAAACATACTTTTGGCAAAAGGCCACCTCTAATCCGTTTGACACGAACCGGGTCTGTTGCTTTTAAAAAGCCAAGCGTCTTGGGCTTAATGAGGACCTAAAGGCAACACAAGTGGAATACTTCATTAATAGCAACCATGGGCAAATCACGAGTTTTCAATTTGAGAAATCCGAATGTTTTGACAATGTATTCACATTGCTAACGTCTATTTTGTGGCCTTGAAGGCAAAACAATGAAGCCAATTAAACCCATAAAGTATACTATTTTATCAAACACAATGGAGGGAGTTTATCAAAACTGGAGCAGACAAAATCTGGAACAGATTTGCACTGCAACCAATCTCATTTTCAAATTTTACCTGAGCAAACTTAAAGGGTTAATAAACCCTCAGCGTTTTTTGCATATATCTACTACAAAAAAACGCTTTTAAAAAGGGTGTAAACTTACCTGTGTCTCCATTGCACGCTCCGGTCCGAGCATCTAAAGAGTCGCAGGCGGCCGCAAAGGATCTTGGGGCGGGCGCATGTGCAGTTCAGATGTTCGGCCAGGAGACAAGGAGAGACACAAGGTAAGTCTATGGAGCAGCGTGCACCCGCACAGACTCCATGGGACTTCAGAGGAGAGGAGGACAGAGGAGTCAGCGCTGGATCGGAGACCCGCACCAGCGCTGGAAGGACAGCTGAAAAGGACAGTAAAAAAGAAAATGATCGAATAAAGAGGCATGATTTAAGGTAAGTGCCTACAGCAGGATTAGGAAGGGGAAAAAAAATTCTGACTTTAATTTCACTCTAAGATATGCTGATTGGTTGCTATGGGCAACTGCTCCATATTCTGTCTGCTCCAGTTTTGATCAATTCCCCCCAATAAATGTTATATTAGCAAGGCAAACAGCAGAGTGGAATTTGCAATAACCCTAAAATTTCTCATTGTTTAGGCTCCTCTAACCCAACAAATTGTATTGGTCATTGATCATTCTATGTACTTAATAAGCTAGTATGGGTAATTTGCGGAGGTACAAAACGTTGCATTTCACGCAACAACTAAGAAGGTGAAGGTGATCACAAACTGTTAGTTTACTAGTGACTAGTAGTCTACTTTGGACCAATAGATTGGTCTGCAATAACAAGCATCTGAATGACCAAGACAATTGACGTGGGTGCATAATGGATAGAATGTAAAGCTCCTTTCCTTATGCCTGTACTATCCAAAAGATGCCAAAGTGAGAAATTATAGTTGCCTGTTGGTTATTCTTTTCATGGAGGTAAATGACAAACTACGTACTCCAAAATTTTAAAATCTGTGAAAGTCGGGCAGCCGAGTAAATAACCGACCTGAAGTGAAGTGAGCCGAACGCTGTTCGGCTATTCACTTCAGGCTTGTACGGCTGATTTCAGGCGTACATCGGCTTCCTTCGGATGGCTTTGGTTCAGCCGAACATGCGCAGGCTGGATCGGCTGAGCCGAACCTCCGGCAGGCTACTTGCTGCCATTCGGCCTATTCTCATAGCGGCCAAATGGCAGTGAGAGAATAGACCAATGCTGCTGAGTGAAAAAAGTTGAAAAAAAAGTAGGAAAAAAATTTAAACAAATTATAATTTAAAAAAGAAGAAAAAAACAAAGATATTTGAAAAAAGAAAAAAAAAAGATTATTGAAAAAAGAAAGAAACAATTGGGTGGAGCTAGCAGTGACAGCTAGCTCCCCCCACCTGTTTCCTATTGGCCGGGACCTGCTGAAGACTCTAGCAGGTCCCGGCCAATAGGAAACAGTTGGGTGGAGCTAGCAGTGACAGCTAGCTCCCCCCACCTGTTTCCTATTGGCCGGGACCTGCTGAAGACTCTAGCAGGTCCCGGCCAATAGGAAACAGTTGGGTGGAGCTAGCAGTGACAGCTAGCTCCCCCCACCTGTTTCCTATTGGCCGGGACCTGCTGAAGACTCTAGCAGGTCCCGGCCAATAGGAAACAGTTGGGTGGAGCTAGCAGTGACAGCTAGCTCCCCCCACCTGTTTCCTATTGGCCGGGACCTGCTGAAGACTCTAGCAGGTCCCGGCCAATAGGAAACAGTTGGGTGGAGCTAGCAGTGACAGCTAGCTCCCCCCACCTGTTTCCTATTGGCCGGGACCTGCTAGAGTCTCCCCGCAGGTCCTGGCCAATGAATAACAACTGGGCGGTGCTGCCGACTCCGCCAAGTTGTCATTGTTTATTACAGTTCAGCGTCCCTAGGTAACCTGGGGACGCTGATCTGTCATTGCAACTGGGCGGAGCCAGCCGTGAGATCACGGCTGGCTCTGGCCAGCTGTTATTTGCGAGGCTCTCTTGGGGTTTCACTTTTGCTTCGTCGAGCTGAAGCATATGCCTTTGGCTTGGCTGAGCCGCTCGGCCAGCTTCGGGAGCTGTATGGGCTATAGCGAATAACCCCTACAGCAGCCCTTCGGTTCTTCTAAATTTACAATTTACCCCACTTAATACTATTCCGTATTGAATTCCCCTTATTTTTCTCTTAATAGAAGAACTCTGGGCAGAAATCATCTTACTCCTTGCAGTGGTGCTATCCTTGTTTTTTGTCTAGGGTGTAAAATGCTTGTAAGATATACTCACCCAAACCTTGAAGATGGCTGGCTGCTAGACTGGTCCCTGCAGACTCTATCCTTCTCCTCTCCAGTGATGGAATGTTCATCGGTGTCCTCACACCCAATACACTATATTGGACATGATGACTCACAGGTTCTTAGACCACTGAAGCGGAGGGGGAGCAAGGCTGCAGGGACCGATCTAGCAGCCAGACGGGTGAGCATATCTTTTTTTAGTTTACACGAGCACTTAACTCTTGCAGTGTGGGGGTAGCCCCACTGCAAAGGTTAAGATTATGTCTGCCAGGAGTTCTTTGAAGCTGAACTCAGGGCACAATAATGTTAAGTTTGAGAGTCTAAGTGATCTAAACGCTAGAACAAAAATGTAATATATTCCTACTTACCATTCCTTACATGTGGTGGCAGTATTGCTTTTCTTTCTTCAAGCATTCCTTTATTTTTTACCTGTTGATTCTGCCAGTTACACACTTCCTGTCCTAGGGTGACATTGCTCACTCACCTACTATGAAGAAGTTGTCACCCTATGGTGGGACTACAAAAATCTCCCCCTCTACTATTGTCTATTGTCCATAACATTGAGGGGAAACATTGTGTAGTCCTCTGAAATCTGGCAAGATCTTCTTGGAACACTGTAACTGATAAGACCCTAGCACAGGCAGAGAGCACAGGAAATTATACGCTGACAAGATTTCTGAAAGGATTGACAGATGTTTCTGCACTTGTCAAACAGATATATTAAAATGCCTTAATGGTATTTTGTAAATGACCAAAAAGGAACAAATAAGAGAAGTTCATTGTAAGGGTTTATACACCCTTCAAATATTTCCCTCAATAGAAACAAAGGATAAACATAAACTTTGTGCACCATTGCAAACAGATGTTACGTAGCAAAAGTAGCAGGGACCAGTGGCGTCACAAGGGGGGTGTGACCCATACCCGGGTGACATCATTGGAGAGGTGACACCAAAATGACTGACAGTCATTTTGGTGTCATCCCCTCTAAAAAGATGGTCACTCGGTCATGGACCGAGAGCCTGACAGTATCAGGAGTGAGGAGGGGACCCAGCGGCATACCTCATCCCTTCCTCTCTCTGGCGGCGTCCATCACCAAGATGGCCGCTGGCAGGCGTGAATTAAATGACTGCGCATGCGCGATGACGTGACTGCACATGCGCGATGATGTGACCGCGCATGCGCGTTGACGTCATCGCACACACACGACGTGACGTCGCGCGCACATGCAATGATGTTACTGCGGGGTATCACCCGGTCTCCGCTCCGGGTGTCACCCAGCCGCGGGACGCCCCTGGCAGGGACACCAACACTGTGCTGTACATAGCCTGCAGAGAGAACAGAGCTGTAGGTATGACAAATCAGGTCCCCCTACTACAGGCTACCTGCAGAAAACTACAGGGGGGAGGGTACAAGACCTGTCATCCTGCAGAAGGAGAGAGAAGAGCCATGATAAGTCCTTATAACAGGAAGCTGATACACAGAGGCATAAGAATACATATTCCTATTGTATTTAGACAATAATTGCTTAGCTTGGCTTTCAAATTGTCCATCTAACCACTTTTTCAGTAGAACAACTTGAAACAGTCGGCACAGTTCAAGATTCTTCACAAAAATCTCTCTTATTAAATCAAGGTATTAGGGCATACAACCAGTCATAGCGAATGTGCTAACGTGTTTCAGCTGAAGTGGCCTTAATCATAGCTGTTTTCTTCATTCCTACAACTCCTTTAAATACTCAATCCAGTTGGGGTGGAAGAAACCAACACAATCACCCTCCACCTGTATTGTGTGAAGTCCAATTTAAGTTTAATAGAAAGAGATTAAAAGATAGAAAATAACTCAAATTTACAGGGTTATTCTCAAAAGGGTGAAGAGTTTGGAGAAGGCAGGAGAAGTGAACAATCTAGGACAACATAGCTGATTTGGAAACATTCCCCAATTCAACTCACTTTCCAGTTCAACTATGTTGTCCTAGATTGTTCACTTCTCCTGCCTTCTCTAAACTCTTCACCCTTTTGTGAATAACCCTGTCAGAGATAGAAAACAGACAGAAGACTGCTTACAAAGTATTACATAATATTGCATGAGTAAAAACGTTTTCAGTAAACCTCAGTACATAACAATGTAAAAATTCTAACCTGATCTGGAGAGGGCCTATGGCTAGAAAGCGTTCTCCCAGGAGAACGGTGATGATGGTGGTGGTGATGATGGTGATGATGGTGATGGTCGTCTTCATAGTTGTCTGCTATAAGTTTCATCCGGTTCTGTGTCTGGAAAGAAAAAAAGAAAAGATTCATGCTAGTGTCTTATCACAACACCGATAAACAAATATAACTCTGGATATTTTTAAATATTTACCAGGAACACTTTACAACCTATTTATACATAATTCCATCTCATAGGACCACACAATTCAATATATCCAATGTTGACACATCTTGAAACATAAATCAGTTGTATGCTATATAATGAGACATACAGTATAAATATTAAACTAGAAAGACCAGATGATAATAATACATGCAATGATCATTATGGAATGTTATAGTATAGGTGGACAGAAAGAGAAAACAATGCGGCTGGACCATTCCCTATACATCAAATCAAGTAATAGTTTAATCCAAACTTCCAAGGCCCTTTTGGTAACAACTGGTACAAATAATAGAAATGTTGGTGCCACGTGAACCTCAGTGAAATATCTTGTTTTCATTCACCTTGTTTGGGCACATCTAACCAAATATACCCATATACATGTCAGTTGGCTCTGCAAAGTGGGCAGTTCTAGATCCTTTTCTGCCAAATATATGGGCTCATTACACTAAACACTAAATCATAAGGTACCCATAGATATGAGCTGACAGTTTCCTGAACCTGATGTTTTTTGTAAATGATCAAACATCTTTGTGCAGCTTGAGACAATGTCAGCCATCAGATGTAGGACAAAAAGGGATAACACAGGTAAGACCAAGTTTTCCAGTTGCTGTTGTTTCCCCTGCAATAAACTGCCTGCTGTGAGTGCACTGAACATTCCCCCATACACAGGGATAAAATGAACCCTTCTAGAACATCACTTTTTATAGCAGAAGTGATGTTAGATAGTTGCATTGTTCTGAATTGTCCATTTTTGAGTTGCTGATTGGATATCATACCCTTATGTATGTAGGCATATTGTACAACCACTGTTCAGCTCCAAAGCAGAATATCTTACATATATGACCAAATTAAATGGATACAAATCTAAAAATCTAGATCTGCCAGTGGAGTACAGGAGTCTTAGCATGGCTAAAGGACTGGTAATTCAGCATAAAGCCAAAAC